GGCAGGCCGGAGGCCGGAAGTTGGGAATCATGTCCACCAGGCTAAAGTCCAGGGCCAGCGGGCAGGTGCCTCGGGAAGCTGCCGCAGAGGACCCAGCCTGGCCACGTCACCCTCCGCTCAGCCTCTGACTCCTGCCGCGCCCTCCCGTGAGGACCCTGGGGAGGCTCCAGGTCCAGCCAGACCGTGCACAACAGTCTCCCTGCGGCGGGGTCACAYCAGGAGGCTCTTCTTTCTATCTGAGGTGACAGTGACAGCCATCGTGCAGAAGGGGACACCGGGAGCTGGGCGGGCACCGACCTCCGGAGTCCCCAGCCAAGGTGCACCCCTGCAGTGGGTCCAGAATCGGGTGTGGAAGACCCGAGGCCACGAGGCCCGTGGAGGAGCAGGAAGGGACCAGGCCCCTCCTGCCCAGCTGCCCGCCCCCTTCAGTCCACACAGAGCCCCGTGCCCTCCCCGAGCTCCTCCCTGTGCCCAGCAAGGGGCAGGCCCAGCCCTGGGCTCCAGATGGGCAGCAGCCAGGAGCCCGAACTAACCAGTGCTGGGCGTCACTTGTCGCCGGTTTGTGTCTAGCCATCATTCACGACCCTGGCTTGATGCCAACAGAGAATCTCCTTTTAAGTTCAGCRCATTTAGATTTTTTTTAAAGGAGGGGGACAGCAAGATGTTGATGTTAAAAAAAAATTAAAAACGGTAAATCACAGTAATGTGACTAAGTGATTGAGGGGAAGGGGATCAGGGAGAAACCATGTGGGTGGCACAGGACGACGGAAATCCAATCGGGCTCTGCTCCACGAGACAAATGTCCSGTCTGAGCTCCCTGGGGTTCAACGAGATGATACAAGTTAAAAGCCCAGGCGGCGTCTGGTCAGAGAAGTCACCTGCTCCATGCAGCAGGACTGCCAGGTTTTTTCTGAGAAACTCGSATGAGGGCCTCTCAGAACCTGGCTGCTCTGTCCTCCAGAACTAAGAGGGGAAGGTGACTGAAGAAACTGAGTAGCTGTGTGGCCTCGGGAACACTGCCTGACTTCTCTGTGCCTCACTTTCCTCATCTRTAAAAACACAAAGATGATCATCGTTGCTACTTCTCAAGGTTGTGAAGGGTCAATGAGCTAAAATGTGAAGGACGAGGAAAACAACAAGTCAGACGGGGCAGAGTGGGGCGATGAGGAGGAGGAGGGCCATCCCCCCCTTGCACGGGGGCACAGCGTTGGGAAACGTCTCTCTATCTTCTCTGAATTCTCGYGACAGCCCTCTGGGCAGCTGAGAATCCTCTGCCCCTCACCAGCGAGGAGACTGAGGCTCAGAAACTCAAAGTCTCCAGCCCAGGAGGCCCGCCCCCACCCCGTCCCCGTTCRCAGCCAAGACCAGCCCTCCTCAGCCCCCCTCGGCCCAGGTGCCCCTCCCTGTCCCTTCTCAGAGCCACCCTCCCCATCTGTGACACGGGAGCCTGCCACGTTCTCCAACCACAAGCTGAAAGTCGAGGTGACAGTGCAGGCACCACAGATGACATTCCACGGGGCCATCACTTGATAACGAGGTGGAGACCGGGAGGCCCAGACAGGGACCGTGACTTGCCCCAGGCCACAGGGCCAGCATGTGGGGTGGGAATCCACTTCTGATTTCAAAACCTCAGAACTAGGGACAAAATGACAGTTTCCCTGGTCACCAGCTGCTGGGAATCAGGCAAATGTGGGAAGTGGGCCTCTGACCTACAGGAGCTCCGCAGCCTCTACCAAGAGTCCCGTCCCAGGACAAGCCTGCGGGAGCCTCTCGCACACCTCTGTGCAGACAGACGGTAGAGGTGGATCAGCTCACACCAAGGCGCGGTTGGCATGGGCAGGCAGGCCCGTCAGCCTTGCTGGCCTCGGCAAGGCCCCTGGATCAGTGTACAACCTGCACAACATCCTGTAGCAGCCCTGTCTAGCACATCCCGACTCCCTCCACTCGGAATGTCCTTGGAGTCACCTGCGAGTGCCCACTGTCAAGGACTCATCTTGGCCAAATGTTCAGCAGGGCTTCATTTGCTCTCGGTGGTGCAAGGCGAGAAAGGGAGCCAGACTTTGCGAACTCATGGGGCTGACGCGTCTTTGCAAGCCTGTCTAACCGTCCATCTCTGCCTGCTCCCTAGGGCCCATGTTGTGCAAGGCCACTCCCCAAACCTCCGACTCCCCCGATGGCCACACTTGAAAAACGTGGAGTCAGCAGCATCCTGACGTCCTGAGCAGCTRGCATTCTTTGGGGTAGGAGCCAGGATCCCCAGTGGGGCTGGAGATTCCAGCCTCTGCACCYCAGGTCCTTCCCTTCCTCCTGGCCACGTCCTCCCTGCTGGCCACGTCCAGGCCAGAGGACATAGTGTAAGAACACTCTCTGTGCCTGCACTGGCTTGACCACAGCTCCCTGCAGACCAGMCCAGCCCTCTCTGGACCACACTTACCCCTAGAAATCACAGAGCTGGAAAACCAGGCCCAGGGAGGACGGTCCCGCCTCAGCACCCAGCAAGCAGCAACGCTGGCCTCTCAAGCCCCCTTCCTGATCTGGTATCTGGCATTTCTCAAAAGTTTGTAGGACCCAGGTGCAGTGGCGCCCACCTGTGATCCCCGAGCTCTGAAGGCAGAGGCAGGAGGAGCGTGAGTTCAAAGCCAGCCTCAGCGACTCAGATGCCCTCAGCAACTCAGAAAGAAAAAGGGCAGGTGTGTGGCCRTGGTGGAGATCGCCCTGGGTTCAGTCCCAGCACCAAACAAAACAGACTTCCTAGGAACCCGGATGTACAMGACGCCTGCCCTGGAGGCTGCGGAGAGGCGCAGCAGTGGCCTTCTGGTGTTGGGGATGAAGCCGGCGCTGCAGGCACTTACGTCGGAGACACACTGCAGAGCAAGACTATTTTTAAGGTAGATCACCAGCGTTTGGCGAGGCCATCATGGGGAGGGTCTGGTTAAGATGACAGTCTTGTGGCTTCCCGTGCAGAGCAAACCCAGTTTTGCAATAAAAACAGCAATATTCCTTAAGGGCACACTTATTCACATTGGACATCAGATTGAGAAACATGTCACTTCTTAATGTCCAAGAATATATGTGGGGGAGGGGGCTTCGGGTATGTCATCAGAAATTTTGAAGGAGGCTAGAACTTTCCACCCCAAGCACCCAGGAGAAGGTGCTGGTTTGTCAGTCACTTAAAGAAGCAGTGACATCTAGGGCCAGACAGAGGGTTCCCTCCAGGGAACTGCAGGAAACAGGAGTGGTTCCTACTGAATCATAACCAAGGAGAGTGGTTAAASTACAACCTCTGCTCTCCAGCTTTGGACCAGCTGTTCAACTTTGGGCAGGTGACCTAACCTTGCTGAGCTTCTGTTTCCTCACTCGTCAAATAGGGTCTCAAAAAGCAGCTGCCTCCTTGGTTTTTTGGACATCATATGGGACAGTGCCTGAGGAGCTCGGTCCAGCACGGAGCCAGCGGAGTTCAGCATTGAAAAGCGCTCCTTTTGGTAGGGGTGGCTGGCGCATTCACTGTCACGGTTCCCTGCTACCCACTCGTGTGCGTTGGGGACAGAGGAAAACTAGTGAAGCTTAAACCTCACGGCCACCCCCAGCTCCGTGCTGAATTTCGTTTTTGTAAGTGTGTGTCGTTTTTCTTCAAGAGACCCCAGAGTTAGTACAGGCTTTTGACCTCATGACACATGGACACCATCTTGCAGAGACGGGTCAGGGACGGACGCGGGGGTTCCTCTCTTCTTCCTCAGTCTCTGGGGGGCCTCGGGACAGCAGCACTGGCCCAGCCTCGCCTTCCCAGCAGGTTCCAGCCGGCCTCAGTCAGCGGCCCACRCCACCCCTCCCGTTGCTCCCCAGAAGACAGGGAGGTGACCACCCCAGTTTAAAGGCCAGAAAAGCGGGACCCAGGGAAGAGAGGAGCTCGGCTGAGGTCAGAAGGGGGCTGAGGCGGGCTGGCTTTCGCCCGGGCAACCTCAGACTTGTACATCATTTATTTTCTGGTTTTCACGTCAAGAGAGTCCGACAGCTAAGACTCGTCCACAYCACTGTCCTGGGTCTCCCGGCCACCACCAGGTGCCACCTCCTTACTCCTGTACCAAGGAAGGGCCGCTTCCTTCAGACGGCTCCCCTGGCTCTCAGCTGGGCAGTGCTGGGTAAGGCACCACGGAGACACCTTCTCTGTACCTCGCGCGGCATCCCCGGGAGGAGCGGTGAAGCCATCTCTTGGAGTAGGAACTCTGTCTTCCACAACGGACGATGGGTTGGCACAGGCGAGGGACCCAGGAGGGGCCGGGTACCCTCTCCCTCCAGCCCCCAGCATGCCCATTTCCTCTCCACCTCAGCTGCAGCCTTTGATCTTCTAGAGTTACTTTCTTTGAAATCTGGGGACAAGCCAGGGGGCAAATCCCTACGCAGTCACTGGCTGTGTGACTCTGAGGCCACTTCTCTCTGGGCCTTGGTTTCTACCTCTGGAGAGTGGTGTAATAGCCTTCCCCCTCTGGGGGCCTCTGAAAGGGTTTTAAGATGATGCACCTGAGGCACTCATTAAATCTGCCCCTGTCACCAAAGGACCTGGTGCAAAGGAAAGGCCAGCAAGCATGTATTAGGCACTTACTGTGCACCAGGCTATTGGAAGAGATTCACACACATTGCCTCATTTAAAGTCACCACTAGGCCACAGGTTGACACTATCACCCCCCTGTTTTTACGGGAGTTTACTTGAGAGAGGTTGAGTGACTTGCCCAGGCCACCCACCTTGGCATTCCTTGGGCGTTCATGGTCACCGGGGGAAATGTGCAGGCAGCATGGCCAAGCGCCAGTTAGAGTTCGGAACAGAAATCATCCCGCGCAGCCTGGAAAGGGCCCGAAGGCCGCTCTCCAAAGAGCAGGAGAAATACCCCGGGAAGCGGAGCGGGCCTTCCCAGAGTGCGAGGCCCGCCAAGGGAGAGGATCGCGGCCGCGACAACCTGTCGGGACGAGGCGCGGCGGGTCGCTCGGGCGGGTGGGAGGGTTACCTTGGGCGGCAGGGCGAAGACCACCGGCAGCAGCGCCAGCGGCGTGAGCAGCAGCACCAGCAGCCGCCGSGCGCTCCACACCTTCTTGGCCAGGGCCGCCAGCGCCGCCATCCGCGCGATCCCCRGCGCCCCGGCCGGCCCGACTGCCCCGTGGGGCCCGGGCGCCGGCTTAAAGCCCGGAGGAGGGTCCGGGGAGGGGACTGCGCTGGCCGCGTCCCGCCCTCGCTCTCCTCCTCCCCGCGGCCGGGCGCAGGAGCGCGGCGAGCGGAGCCGGGGGACAGGGACCCAGCTGTGCAGGCGCCTGGCCTCGGGTGGAAGCCTCGCAGCTTCGCAGCGGTGTCCCGGGACAGCTGGCCCGACCTTCCCCGCCCAGAGAAGCACAGCGTGAGGAGGACCGTGCGGAGGACCTGATGCAGACCCTGGCTCCGCCACGTGCTGCCAGGACGAGCCTCGCCCCCCAGCCTCGGACCCCAGCCTCGGACCCCAGCCTCGGACCCCAGCCTCGTCCCCCAGCCTCGGACCCCAGCCTCGTCCCCCAGCCTCGGACCCCAGCCTGGGACCCCAGCCTCAGTTTGCTCACCTGAAAGCGGGAGGGACGGCCGTGACCGACCGTCGGGGCCAGGGCCGGGGCGTGCGGGGAAGTTCGGAGAACCGCGGGGAGGCCCCCGAGCGCCAGCGGGTTTTCTCAYTCTCTCCCGCGGTGGGCGAGGGGCCTGCGGGTCCCTTCTCCCTGGAGAAGGCTTCTCCTTCCTCTTGGATGAAGGCACAGGGAGCCAGGGCTGGTCTTTTAAAGAAACAGATAAAACAGTCTCCCGAAGTCGCTGTGTCATCGCCCCGTCCCGCGCAGGTCCTGAAGAGTGGGTTTCTGGGTGTCCCGCAGCGTTTGGCGCCCTSGCTGGTGGTAACCAGTCGCTGGGGACGTGGCGCTGCCTCCCCGCGGTTCACCTGTTCCCCTAACGACCGGTGGCTCCTGCTGGGCGCTCTCCTCCCTCCGGGCCGCGCTCTGGGCGTCCCTGGCTTTCTGCCCTGCSTGGAGCTTTGAGGGTCTTGGGGTGCCCCGACACCGGGCCCCGTCAGTCTCTAACAGGCTGCCGCGGGCATCCTCAGTCTGATGTGCTCGCAGTTAAATTTTCCTTCGGGTCATGCTTTTGGTTTCAAATTCTTTGCGAAGCCCTAGATCTGGAAGTTCTGGGTCTCTGAAACCTGCACTCGTTCATTAACCCCCCCAGCCTCTGCCRTCTCCCCACCCCAACTTTCTGTTTCTGTGAATTGGGTGGATCTAGATATTTTACTGACATAAACAGTATCAGAACACGTGTCTTCTGACTTGGTTTATTGGTTTACTTCACTTAACATGTTTTCCAGGGTCATTCATATTGTCGCTTGTGTCAGAATTTTTTTTTTTCTGAATAGAATTCCATTGCATGGGGCTGAGGTTGTGGCTCGGAGGTAGAGCGTTCRCCTACCAACCAGGAAGCAYTGGTTTCAATMCTCAGCACCACCTAAAAACAAAATAAAGATATTGTGTCCACCTATAACTAACTAACTAAATAAATAGATATTTTTAAAACTCCATTGCATGTATGTACCATGCTTTGCTGTTTATCCATTCATTTGTTGATACTGTTTCACCTTTTGGCCATTACAAGGAATGCTGCTATGAACGCRGTGGACAAGTATCTATCTGAGTCTCTACTTTCCAAAAGTGGGATTACTTGCTCACATTATAACTCTATGCTTGTTTTTTGGAGGAATGGCCATTATTGTTTTTCCATAGATGTTGCCCCACTTTATATTCCTGCCAACAGGGCACCAGGGTTCCAACTTCACCAGCATTTGTTTCCAGGGTTCCCCCCCATGATAGCCATACTGTTGGGGTGTGGAGTCTACCTCATGATTTTGATGTGCATTTCCCTAATGGTTACCGAGGCTGAGCCTTCTCACGTGCTTATTGGCCATCTATACAGCTTCTCTGGAGAAGAGTCCTCTGCCCTTGGGTTGTTTGGGGTTTTTTGTTTCTGTCTTTTTCAGTGTAGGTCTGAGCATTATGTATACATAAGTTAGCGTAAGTCTACTGGTGTCATTTTGCCAGATTCAGAGAAATGAAGAAACCTTATCTTCTCATTTTTTAACCTTATCCCATTTATAATAGGATTGTTTACAGTATTTACTCTTAATACATTTATATCCACATCAGTGTTACACTTTTTGCTTCAACAGTCAAATATAATTTAGGAAACTCAAGATGCTACCATGATATTAATATAGCTATGTTAACTTTCTTATGCTTAATGTTGACATGGAATATCTTTTTCTTTCTTTTTAAAAATTTTTTTTTCTAGTTGTAGATGGACACAATATCTTTATTTATTTTTATGTAGTGCTAAGGATCAAATCCAGGGCCTCATACATGCGAGGCAAGTGCTCTACCCAGCCCTGGGATAACTTTTTCCTTTTTTTTTTTTTTTTTTTTTTACTGTCAACCTATATATGCTTCTATATTCATAACTGTTTCTTGTATGTAGTAGACAGATAGACTTTGCTTTTTATCCTGTCTCTATCTCTATATCTGTCTCTGTTTCTCGTTCTTGTAGTACTGGGGATGGTATCCAGGWGCATTCTACCACTGAGCTATGTGCCCAGCCATTTTTATTTTTCATTTTGAGACAGGGTCTTGCTAAGTTGCTCAGGATGCCCTGGAACTTGCATTCCTCCTGCCTCAGTCTCTCAAGTCACTGGGACTACAGGTGTACACCACTGCACCAAGCTTCTGAGTTTTAATTGGAGTATTTAGTCCATTTACGTTTAATGTAATTATTTTTCTGGTTGGATTTAAGTGTTTTCTTTAGCTATTTATTTTCTATTTATTTTATGTGTTATTTGTTCCTCTTTTTCTTCTCTTGTGTCTTTTTTTGTGCCATCTGAATATACTTTTTGGAGTTCCGTCTATTTCATGTATTATTATTTTTTCATTCTTCTATATTATCATTTTAATGATCCTCTAGAGGTTAAGATGTGCGTCCACCACAGTCTCCTTTCATATGACAAGGTGTTATTTTAGGAACAGCATAAGAACCATACCATTCCACTTCCCACTTCCCTCTCACTCTTTGTATTCTCATTGTCTTTTTAAATTTATATATTCTATAAACCAGTGGTGTGCTGAAGCTCACCATYAGAGAGGACTGTTAAATTTGAAAAAACAAAAATCCAAGCCAGCTGTAGAACTGATAACTTGAAATCACCATTGTGGGAATACTTACCTTACAGTAATAATAAGGTGCTATAAATAAGGACTTTTCCCCCTCAGAGAGCCACTTGTTAAAAGTTTACCAGAACCCCACTTTATAAATTGTACAATGCAATTGTTCTGTTTTGGGTGCTGGGGACTGAACCCAGGGGCGCTCAACCACTGAGACACTCCCAGAACCCCTTCCTCCCCTCTGTTTAAAGTCTCGAGACAGGGTCTTGCTAAGTTGCTTAGGGCCTTGATAAGTTGCTGAGGCTGGCCTTGAACTTGCAATCCTCCTGCCTCCATTGTTATATTTTTAACAGTCAATAATCTTTTAAAGATATGGATAAATAAATTAAAATGAAGGTACTTTTAAAATGGTCTTTTATATTCCCCAGATATTTAGCTCTCTCTCCGTTCCTTCCCGACAGGATGATCCAGCTTCATTCTCTTAGTCGCTGGCGTCCTTTCCTTTTACCATTTCTTACAGTGCTGGTCTGGGAGGAGGAATTCCCTCTGCTTTGGTTTTTCTGGAAGTATCTGGGTTGGAAGTTGTTTTCACTGGATATAGAGTGAAGTGATTTTCACTGTGAGAGTCGACCAGTTTTTTCCTGGRTTTTTTTCTTTCAGCACTTTAAAGACATCATCTCACTGTCTTCAAGTTCACATTGTTTTTGGTAAGAAATCAGCTACCATTTGTATCACTGTTCCCTTTAGGTCACATGCCTCTTTACTCTGTTGGAAGGTCTCTTTATCTCTGGCTTTGCGGCATTTGGGTGGTACTGTGCTGGGATGCACTGTCTTGTACTTGTTTCCTTGGAGTTTGCTGAGCTGGTTTTGGATCTGTGTGTGGGTGTCTTCCATCAGTTTGGACTGTGCCCTGTCACCATGTCTCCAGATACTTCTTTTTCCCCTTCTCTCCTCTCCTTCAAAACTTGTTGTACTTATGTCAGAGGATTTAGTATATCATCTTACAAATCTCAGGTCATGTCTTGTATATTTTTTCACTTTGTTTTTCTCTCTGTGCTTCAGTCTGGGCATTTTATATTCCATCTTCAACTTCACAGATATTTTCCTTTGCTGTGTCCAGTTTGCTTTAGATTTTAACTTTTCATTTCTGATATTGTATTTTTAAACTCTAGTATTTCTATTAATTCTTTTTATAATTTTCCATATTAATTTCCCACGTATTAATGCATGCTGTTCTTTAGATAATTCCATTTGTCATAATTTTTTTTTAAAAAGTCTCTGAGAACTTAAAAATCTGAGCAACTCCAGGTCTACTTCTATTAATTCTTTTCTCTCTTAACTATTTCATTTTATTGCTTTCTCTGTGTTTGTTAATATCTGAGTGTAAAGGGGATATTTTATGGAAAGGAATGGTAGAGAGTGAAGTAGATAATATTTACCTCCAGAAAGGGATACTCCCCTTTTCCAGTAAGACTGACGGAGTGTGGACTTCATCTGATCGGTCCTTCAGCTGGTGTCAGCTTTTGGTGTAATTTTAGTTCAGCTCCAAGTGTTTGAGGGCAGAAGCAGAACTTTCCCTTCACTAGGACTAGGTAGACTTGATACCTGATGGGCTGTATTTTTAGTTTGTCTTGTTTGGGTGATTAGGAAGTTTTCTTTTCTTACAAATCCTGTCCCCCGTTTCCTGAACCCAGGAAGATTTTTCCAGCCCTGTTGACATTCATCTGGGCTTTGGAGAGCTGTGACCCCACACACTGTGAAGGCCTCATGTCTCTTTCTCTTAGTGACACTACCCTCTCTCCGTCTCTGGTAGTTAAGCATGGGGGACCTAGGAGGGAAGGACATCTCTCAATTCTTCTCTCTCCTTCCCAGTATTTCGTATGTGAACATATGTATCATGCCAGGTCTTCCCTCAGTTCT